AGAACCCTGATTGTGATCAGTTACGTTTTTCTTCATTTGTTCATTTATTGAATTTTTCTTTTAAGGGGTTTTCCTTTTTAAACCTTCATAGATCCATCTCCGAGGCTTTCTTCCCTTTCTTGTTTCCCTGCCAACCAGAAAAGACCAGAAAGTACACAATTATTTACAAGTAAAACAGTATTTTGTTGACATGATTGAAGTAAAAGGTCAAAGACAATGAATTCCCTGCGGCAACTAAGCTTACTTTTATCCTGACCTCAGCTGAGTAAAGTACCAAACTAAATGATGCTCTTGTATGACTGTGCTTCTGTGCTGGGCCTGTTACTTACACTGCAACGTCTCTCACTTTGTCTGACTGACTGGCTGCTGTTTGTCTGGTCTACAGACGGAGACAAAGGGAACACGCATGCAGGTGCACACACCCACATATACACACACATGAACATCGGCTAATACACACACAGTAAAATGTACGACAGCAAATTGTCTCTTTTAAACTCCACTCTGAGACAGCGAGGGATTATCTGAACTCTCACCTGATGTTTTGGTTGTTCTGTCTGCAGACCTTTGACTTTAGATCTTTCTTGTTCAAGGGCACCGTGTAGTAATGTTACCTATTTAACAAAAAAAGAAGAAACATTATTTAAATGCACATAAATGTACATATATCTCACACACACACACGTTCCTCTCTCATAATCCATATCTCACTATAACATATATAACACACCTGTGATGACAGTTCTTCTTTTATATGTAGTAGCTCTTCTACCTGTAGAAGGATTTCTGCTTTATCTTTCACTGAAGGAGAAAAGTTAGAGACATCATAACACATCAGATCCCATTACATCTTCATTCAGAGAGATAAAGAAATGAAGAAAAGGTCTATGCAGTGTATTTTGGAAATGTTCAACTCACTTTCTCCCTGTTGGAGCATCTTGAGCAGCTGAGAATTTCTCGCTTTCACCTCTTTGTACTTCCCCTGCAGAGTTGAGAGACAAGAAGAAACACTTGTTGTCGTTTTTTTAAAAGAATTTATAGAATTTGCCACAACTGAAAGAGTGAGGAGAAGTGAATCATTATAACTTCTTGTATAAACAAATTAGTGTACAAATATATCGATACATTTGTATATAATGTATAATAAAAATATATTTTTAGCACATTGCTGGTAGATCAGGGTGATAGTATAATATTCCAGTGATATAACAGAATGATGGTGTAACTGCATTTGACTGCTGACCTCCCACTGTGAGATGGTCTTCTTTAGCTTATCGATTTCCTGGTCTTTCTTCTCCAGGTCGTACTTCAGCTGCTCTGCTCGGGGGTCCTAACGGGAAGGACAGGGAGAGAGAGAAATAAAAGAGCAAGTCAGGACAAATGTATACTTTCCCACCTATTTAGTTCAGTAGAGAAACACAAACATTACGTCATGATGTCATGATGTCATGATGTCGCATTATTTCAAACACTGTAAAATATAGAGACATGGAGATACAGAGATTGTATGGATAGACTCAAATTCACAGTACAATAAAACTAATATAAATCTCAAATAAGTCGCTGTTTTTTCGGACAGATGACCATTGATAAGATTGGGAATGGGAACTTTTACAACATGATAGAGTTGGGGCGATTAGATGAATAATACTGTCTGTGACTGGCTCAGTCCATCACCGGGTCGTTTTTTTGGATGGTTTTTGTAATTTTATGTTGCTAATTTAATGTTCTGCCTCTGAATAGTGAGAGCCACTCAGTCTCAACATCCGTCACTGAGCATATCTAACTCATTTTAACATGTATTGCTTGTATTCTGTATGTAACGTGTATTCTTTCTTATAGGCCAGATAAAAAAAGCTAACTGCTGATTTGTTCATGAGCTGTGGACACCAGAGCAATGACAAACAGCGTCTACTCACTGGTTCGTGTTCTGTGGAGGTGTTGACTTCTTGTCCATGGTTGTTAGAGTACTGCTCACGTCTCTTCTCCTGTTGGACAATCCGGGTGACGTCATCCTCGAGCTTATTAAAAAAGCGCTCCTCCTGCCCGACTCCCAACGCTAGGTTAGCCGCTCTGGCGTCCTGGATGGGAATGGTGTCAGTGTTTTAAAAAGGCGATATGCCACATCATACATGACATTTAACCCCAAATAAAACCCTGTACATATTATTTACAGGTAATTCAAACAGTTATTCTATATAATATATACAAGAGTGAGAGTTGAGGTTAAGAAAGGTAAAAAGACGCTCAGAGACTTTGCTCACCTCTTTCTCTTGTTTCCGACTCAACTGTTCTGCAGAGACAAAAGTACATTGAAATAAATATTATTCTGGGAGCCTGTTGCGCTACAGACTGCAGCAAGATCTTAGTTTAATGACTTTTGAAATAGATCAGTAAGTTTCGCTCACCTGCACTGCCTTCAGCCTGGAAGTCCTGCAGGGAAACTGTCTTTTTGTCTTTTGCCTGCTGATTCTTCTTTTTGTCCTTCTTTCCTCCGCCCTCTTTTCCTCCCCGTGACTTTGGCGAGGACGTGTTTGTGTTGTTGTGCTGAGTGAAAGCAGATCATCCCACTTATAATTATTACCATTTACAAAAAAACTTCCTAGACTTTGAACTAAAATAAAACTGAGTACATCCTTCATTTCATGCTAGAAATTATTTTAAGGAATGCAATGCAGTTTGAATATATCAGGACAGGGATTTGTTTTTCATTGTTTTTCACTGTTTTGGCTCCACTCCAGCTCACTGGAGCAGTGAACAGTGACTATGAGGTTAAAGTGCTGTCAGCTTCAAGGGGAGAGTGTTCACGTCCATGTCGGGTGAGCAGTGTACCACTTGCAGTTTGGTTTACTCTCGATGGCTGTGTATAAAAGGGTTACTCTGTCTATATGTAGACAGGTCGAGTCGAGACCGAAAATCAAGTGATGGACTAATATAGGTAACTATGGTGACCGCGAAACTCACAAAAAAGCAAACGGCCCTATCTAGAGCCAGTGTTTGGTTTGTCTGTTAAGGGCTACTGTAGAAAGATGACTGTCTCCATGGAAGTCGATAAAAACGGCTCATTCTAATGTAACAAAACTCTTCTTTTCAGGTCATTATACACTCCTCATACCTATGTGTGTTATATTTAATTTCTGTCAATAAATCATCCTCAATGTTACACAGTGGACCTTTTAAAAAAAAAAAAGACCCCCTTCAAATTTGACCTTCAATAGAGGCATATTAGTGTGTGTGTGGGCAATGTACCTGTTTGTGTTGTTCGTACTCCAGTTTACTTAGAATTAAGGCCTTTTCCAAGTCTGCCTCATATAGCTCAGAGGTTATCTACAGACGGTGGAGGAAAACAGACGAGAAAGAACATCCACTTGAGGCAGTTGGCACCGTCTACAACGTCAGACACGAACAGTTGGAAATGCAGTTATATCAGGGAGAGACAATATACTGCTGCTGCACGCAGCCCTCAACTAGTGACCTCTGAACAGCTCTACTAAAACAACCGTGAAGTAATGTGGCTCCCTGAAGGGCACATTGACTATGAAGAGAACATCATGGCTCGCCAGCTCAAATATTTGCTATGTGGCTGTTCTCTCTTACCTGTTCATCCCTCTGCTTCCACTGCTGCCACCCCTCTGGCGGTATATTATGGTCTCCTGATGCAGGACTGAGAAGTTCACTGGCTATTCCTGATAGTGTCATAGAGGGAGGTGGGGCACAAGACTTCTGAGGAATCTTCTTGAAGGCCAGATTACGTAACTGATAGAGAGATACAAGATTAATCCAGACACTTTCTGACTATTATTGCTGGTATAACTACTACTATTATTGACTACCATGCTCTATTGTGAGTGTTTAGGGGCTTATTATGGCCTTCTGCTCACTGATGCCAATCCTGCATGTCTACGTCTTCTGTCTGTAGGTTCCTTGTGTGGGTTAGTGGGTCTGTACACTTGCATATTAACAGGGCTGCAACTTACAATTATTTTCATTGTCTACTAATTTGTAGGGACGGCAATCAGGAACCGGTTCCAATTGTCCAACAGAAAGGCGTAGAGGAATAAACGGTCCAAAGAATGGCTTCATCACGCTGAAAATCCCTACTACTCTGAGGGTTTTCAGTTAGTAGATGAATTCAATGATGTGCCTACAAAGTGTCAAAAAAATCCCTCCCTCCAATCAATTGTTCCTAGATTCCAACGTGACCTCTTCAAGTTGTTTTTCTATTATTTCTCAACGTATCTGATCAACAAATGTCGTTTTTCTGTGTAATATCATAACGTTATATTAAATATTATGGGTGTGGCTTTGGAGAACAGGCGTCGGACGATATGAAAGTTTCATGTCACAATTATCTCGGTCAGAATAAATGCGATATACAATAGTTTTTATGATAACCACGACAATGTACTTTATACTTTTGAAATGGCATAAAAAAATACTGTAAAGTGCATCACAGACACCTCATCTCTCTGTTCTTTATTGTGTAATCTATACAGGAAAGATGTGAGCTCTCCCCTCGTCCAAAATGAACCAGGAACTCAATACAGGACTGTACGCTGGCGAGCTAGACAGCTTTCCCAAGTCAAGGAATGTGATACACGATAACATCGCATATCCCTAACCTTATCAGAGAAATAAGCCATTATCAGGCAATATAAATAGAAGAGAAAAAAAACCCTGGTTACATACTTCACTTGAATGACTGTCACCACTTCCTGTACAAAGCTGAGTGCAAAAACAAAACAAAGAGTGTGTTTCCATGTACCTGGCGGCACCCTGAGCAGTTTCAGTTCATGTGAAGTGAAACAACAGAGGAGCACGGCCACTGATCAGGTCTGAAGCCATGTAATGCAGCACAATAACACTGATGTGTGTACAGCTGAGGGGTCGTCAGATGCTCCTGTCACCCACCTCGTTCGCCTCAGTCTGCTGCTGCTCCTTCTTCTTCTTCTTCTTGTCTTTCTTCTTGTCGTTGCACTGACCCGCTTTCCCCCCGGAGGCTCCTGCCTTTCCCTGTCGGGTCTTACCGGAGGAGTCCCGTCCGCCTTTGGTGGTGGTCTTCCCCGCATCGGAGGCGTCGGAGTCCGAATCCGAGTCTATCTGGAGCAGGGCGAAGCGGGAGGCGGTGGTGGGGACGGTGATCATCGCAGACGATGCCATTGCGAAGAGGAACAAGAAACTGATGACAAAAAAATAAATAAATAAAGGAGATAGAGAACAATACAGTTAAAGACAACTTAAAGGCGAACACGAAACAACGATTTAGCTTCTGAAACGCAGCCTCTTTTCGAATAAAAACACACCTCGACCAGCGGGAGCATGTTTTATGTGGTGATCGGTGTGATGTGATTTAAACTGTGTCGTTGTTAACAGCTAGCATTGCACGTAGCAGCAAGTTGTTAGCTAGCTCACTGTGCGACGACTAGCCGGGGTTTTTTTTTTTTTTTGTTAGCTTCCAAACAAACAAGTGCAAAAGTAAACAAGCACGAACGTCAACAACACACCGGAGGACTCACGGTGAGCTGTTCTTCCCGGTACAGTCGCTGGTATGTCTCGAAAGGGAGCGATACTCACGGGAAAAGTTGCTGAAGAGTAACTTTCACCTGTTCGCGGAGGGACTGTGTGTGTGTGTGTGGGTTACCGTAGCAGAGAGTGACTACGGCTGCCCGGTGGGGCCAAAAAGGATAGAGGCTGAGATTCCGTATCATGAACACACGTCCTTTGTTTAAAGTGCCGGTTGTTCATATAGAGAAGATAAACTCTTCTTTGTTTATTTGCTATCAGAATTAGTTTTGTGAACCTTTTATTTATTGTATGTTATGGGTAAATCGATGATTATAAGGGAAATCATTGATTATCCTCTAATAAATCACACCTACTCATTCAGTTTCTGCAGCTGTAAGTGGCGTTTAGTTGATAATAATAATAATAATAATAATAATAATAAATAATGGCCATTATCAAGGCTGATATAACAACTATGCCAAGGGCCCCAAAATCCTGTGTTAAAAATTATATTAAATATTATATTACTATTATTACATATTCTTTTTTTGTAGCACACATCTTTATTGATTTTGAACATGATACATCACTTTTTCAAAATATATTTAGTCTTATAACGGTATACAAAAGTATGATCCAGTTTTCAAGTGTGGACTTTAGAGAGGCAGCACAAAGCAGAAGTATACTTGGACAGTGAGACAATGAAAGACAATCTTTCCACAGTTAATATGCTGCTATGCTGCCTTTTGAACTAAAACCTAAATGTTTTTGGGGGAATTAATTTCAACCCATATCAATTTATGATATTTAATAGTTTATTGATGTTGTGTTTTTCATATAAAGAGACTTAAAGAGGTCTAGTGATTTAATCTCCCCAATCTGTCCATGGGTTAATTATGGATATTAGTAAGTTTAACACATTTGACTGTAATAAGAGTCACCCATATACAAAATAACTTACACAGCAATCAACATTTAATTAATAGTACATAGTGCACAGAGAAATAGAAAAAGTTTGAATCAAAAAATAAAATGCATACAAAACACTACCAGGCTTTCTATGACTGTTGTAGTGCAGAAAACAAACTTATTCTACCACTTTAAGTGCTGAACAATGCTGAAAATTAAAGGTCAGAGATAAAGTCTTTTTCTTCCTGAGGAACTATTTGATTACATTTAACAACAGCTTGATGAACTTGTTTTGCATAACCTTCTTATCTCTTAAACTAGTGTGTGTTTGCAAAAGGAAGAGAATCAGTTCAGTGGATGCAGCTGGTGATAACTTTAAGGTGAGCTACTGTATGACTATAGAAATAATAATAAGTGCTTCTTTTTACATTAAATACCTCATTCTCACACAATATACATAAGGTTGTACTTTGCATTTACATTTACATTTAAAACTTTAAAACAAGAGCTTGAAACTTAAGATCCCCAAATAACTTAGGGGAAGAAAACAACAAATGTTCAGTGTAGTATTTAGGTGTGGCAAGAGCTGAGACAAAAATCTAAAAAGGGTCTGTTTCACTCTATTTTTCAGTGTAAAAACACTGTCAAGTTATTGGGAATACACACTGGCCTTTCTTTGTTTCGTCTTATAGTGAATGGCCAAAACGCTACAGCATACAACATAGCCAGGTTCTGGGAAATCTGTGACCACAAAGGAGAACAGATAAATAGGAAGACAGTGATATGACAAGAGACTGAACAGGTTCACTATCAAAACATTTCAACATCACGCACATTTCAGTCTATCTAAAAGACAATTTCTTCTCCTCAGGGTATAACCTCACATTCACATTCAAATTCACATTTCATGGTTTCACTATTCTGTGGTTACATCGAAGGCGTGAAAGGTGAATTCAGAATAAACTAAGAACAAAAACTGTTCAGCTTATCACACATTCTTCTCATTTAGTATATTGTGAATATGGACATTCATTAAATATAGACCAGTATTGTGATTATGTGACATAATTTAATGATCTTGTGGGCCCTTACCAATCTCAAAGCACCACAAAGTCCTTAAATTAAGTATTATCCAACAAACAATACATGAACATTTTCACAAGATACTTGCAGTGAGAGGAACAACAAATCTTTTGTATTCAGTGAGTTTTTGTCTAATAGTTATTCATACATTACAATTCACACACATTTTCCTTTCTTTACTAGCACTTCAGGCCACTGAATGGATCCACAAATCATCTGTCAGTGTTTCTGGGCACTTCTATGGAGTCCTCTAGTATTGATTCTGTGCTGGTATTCACTACAGACTGGAGCCTCCTTGTGGCAGAGCCACAGACCTGCAGGTTACCTGGAGAGATCTGTCTCAGCTCTCTGCGACACAAACGGACCGGTGTCATCTCTAAGCTCTCCCCACAGTGACCAGCCCCTCGTTCACTCCCCCCCAGGGACTGTGTCTGTATTTGGTTGTATTCAGGCACTTTTATCTTATTGCATGTTTGGAGGTCAGAGAATGACGATGGTCTCCTTAAGTGAGACTCATTGTGTGTCTTTTTGTCTGTTTGCTCAGTGTGTATCTTTGTGTATGTTGTTGCAATATGCGTCTTTTTCTGTACCTCGTCAGTGTACATCTGTGGTTTGTTTGTCCTCGCATGTATCTGCATATTGTGTGTTTGTCTGTGCTCCTGTGGGTGTGAAATCTGATCGACAGGGTGTAGGGTGTAACTGTGACGCTCTTTGAGTTTTTTTTTAAGCTCCCGGCTGGAGCTTTTGTAGAAAAACAGCTCTTTCTCCAGATGCTGCAGTCTGTCTTGGATAGCCTGCTGCGCCTCTCCTGAATCACCCTCTAAACACACACACACAGACAAATGGTAAAGAGAAGTAAATAAACAACAATATTCATGAAACAATTCCTGTAGAGATATTTGCTGACCAAATTTCCTTACCTTTAAGTTTCTGCAGCAGTAGCTGGATGTTGCTCTGGTGATCTCGGTGCTGCTGGGTGAGCCTGCGGTCTGCATCCAGGGCCAGGCGCTGCATGGCGACCTCCAGCTCCCTCAGCACCACCTCTTGCTCTCCAGCCTGCAGCTCCAGCTCTTCGCAACGCAAACGCCAACGGTGCTCCGCCTCCCGAAGACGAACAACCTGGACAGATTGATAAAGGTGGGAGGGAGCCAGATAATATAGCAGAGAAACAAATTATAATGCAATATAATTACAAAGATATTGGCTGAACCTTGCACCTTTGTTTACTCTCACACCTGCAGAGAAAAATCAAGGACATCGCAAAACAGGTGGGAGGGAGTTTATCACGGTGTAATAGTATAAACATGGTGCTAAAGGCCTCCTGGAGAGAAGTTGATATAGTTTATAATGTTATTATAAACGGTAAGACGTGTCAGCTGGAAAAATAAAGGGCACAGCGGGGAGCATTAGGGGAGCAGACAGAGGCTGGATGTATAATTTAATTAGCTTTACAAAAATAGGGCAGCTGCATTTCTGACTCACAGAAGCACATCACCTGGAGAGAGAAGCAAGGGAAGGTAAACAACAGAGGAAGAGACAAGGAGAAACATAAATCTCCAAAAAGAGAGGAAATCAGCATTCAGGCACACATGGAATTTACTTATAAAAAGGAAATAATGAGAAAGGAAAATGAAAACAGTAAAGGAAGTGAATACAAATATACAGAATTCAGGCACTGGTAAAGAAACTAGAATGAAGAGCATGTAGGCTTTCTATGTAGAGCTAAATGCTGCACATATGCATTCGATCTTACCTTGTTGAAATATTTGACGAGCAGCTCTGAAGCCTCAGGTGGTGAAAGCTCCTTCAGCTTCCTGATGACATCACAGAGGTGGGCGGGTTCAGTGCTTTGTGACTGACGTGAAGAGGAGATCAACAGCTTCTTCTGCTTATCCTGGATGGAGTGGTTTTTAAACTCCAGAGCTGCATCCAGAGCTTCAATAGCTTCCTCCAGCTGGAGCAGGGAATGCTCCTCCTACATGAAGACACAAAAAGATGCACACTGATGAACAATAACTTGCATCATGAAATAGGGTCTGATAATAGAACAGTTTACCAAAGCCTGTGCATCATACACATGTACAATGTTCCCTTTATTCCGACCTCCACAGTGAGCACTCGGTTGTCCTTCAGCTGGGCGTCAAGAATGTCTCTCCTCTTTTTAAGTGTGTCTCTCTCCTCCTCCAGTTCTTCTATGGTGACTCCTCCAGCCTGCCTCTGCAGCTGCTCCTCCAGGGACTCCAACTGCACCGACACATGCAGCAGGTCCTGACTTAAAGCCTGAAAAGTCATTGATAAAACGCTTCAATAATATGTGATGCCAAAATTAAATTGAACACAATATCACAAAGGGCATCGCCATTGTATATTCACACATATACAGGCTGACCTGACTGGAGCGGAGCATCTTGATCTCCAGTTTGTTTTTCTGTTGCAGACAGGCCTCTCTGTGCAGGAGCACCTCCTCCCTCCTCGTCAGCTCCTCCTCCAGGTCCTGCAGCTCTGCTCTCTTCTGGAGCACCTGCTCCTCCTCCTCCTCCAGCCAACTTCTGTCACACAGCTGCAGGGGGGACAAGGAGGAGCAAGTAGGGTGAGGAGGGGAAAAAAGGATTTTTGAGGGAGAAAAAGAAAAACTGAAGAATGTATACTGCTTCTATATTGAACAATAATGTTTTACCTTTTCTTTTGACTCTTTCTTGAAATTGCTTTTGCACACAGTCACGTCTCCTGCCCTTTGCTCCTATAAAGAAAAAAACACAAATCATGTTTACTCAACCGGTCATTAATGAGTCTCTCAACTGAGTTGTGGGGATGATATACATACTCATGGTCACTTCCACCTAGATCAGGGTTAATAATAGTTTAGTCACACTGATATTAAAATGCTAAAACCAGATTTATATTTAAATATCAATTTAATTTAAGTTATTTTTTAACTGTTCTTTTACACTTTGTGGATACATTGCTTCTCCAAAAAGGTTTACTAGCTTAACTGGTTGTGGGATATCTGAAATATCAAATATCTATCAAAGTGATCACAAATACAACAGTTTTACTGTGTGTTTGCTGGTACTTGGTTCCTTCTGTACAACTAACCCCATTCTGGTTAAGTCCTCTGTTGTTGTCACTGGTCTCTCTCTGCTGCCTGAGGCTGGTCTGAAGCTGTGCTCTCTGCAGTCTCATGTGCTGCAGGCTGCGGTACACCTCCGCTCGGACCTGCTGGCTCTGCATGGAAAGTTTTGCCAACACGTCGGCTGCTCTGCCATCAGCACTGTGCCTGCCATGTCTGTCCACTGCTTGAGACTGCTTGTCTGTCAGACAAAAACACACATTCAGAGGTTTGGTACTACTATGATGGTAATGGTAATAATGGTTGTTGCCTGGAGCTTCAGTATAAAAGCCCAGGCGATCAAAGGTAAATAAGAATTAGTCTGTCTGTGGTAAACACTACAGGATTATAATCAAAACAGGTTTTGAAGGGACTTCAGATCTGAATTTTCTCCCTTTTTGCTCCTTCACTTAGACCTTGGTTCAGAGGGAGGCCTCAGACTGCAACAGCAATATTTCCCCAACCTGGAAATCCTTGATTTTTTATGTAGTTTCTTCTGCACCCCATTATCAGTATCGGCTGGTCATGTGTACGTGTTGCTACTATATCATCAAACTAACACATTGTCTTTCTCTGTGCTACTGTTGACGTCCTTGGATTCACAAATCCACTCAACAGAAGCTTCTAGAAGCTGCAGGAATGTTTCAACCAACCTTGGCCAACACAAAACTCCACACACTCACTCTGAAACAAAAAACAAATCAGCCAAAGATTTCCACTGTTCTTCACTCACTATAACAGGTTGAGTAAAAACAACAAAAAAAAGTTATTATATAAACACACCAGTTTTTTCCAGCTCTTTGAGGAGCTCCTCTTTCATGCGCATATTGACTGACAGATCTTGGATCCTTCTCTGAGTGACACTGGCTCTTAGTCTCGCCTTCCTCAAATGGCTCTGATTGGCGTGGTTTTCCTTGGTCCCTAGAAGAAATAGCAACAATCTGACAGCTGACAATATGAAAAAGAAACAAGTTCTTCGATATAAAATAACTCCTTGGAGCATGAGAGATCTGAAACAGGAAAGCAAAAAGGACTAAAGTATACCTGTGGCTCGTTGAGGCTGCTGTACTAATTGATTTCCATTAGATGTTTGGTCTTGTCCAGTGTTTTTCTCTTTCAAAGCTGATTTCTTCTGCTGGCTGGTCCATGTTCGGTTTAAAGAATGCCTGGAGTAACATCACAATATTTGATTAGGCACATCATTTCAGATTAATTCACTGCTGTAGGTTTTTCTGAAGGAAGGATTATTGATGTGTGTTTGTATTTCTGTATGTTCTCTGCCTGCCACATGTGCACAACGCACCTACATATACACTCAAGAATTTGCACTGCAAAAATATGAGTCTGTGGGAAGTTATTTTTACTAGATTGAGGTCCAGAAGGGCAAAGCTATTGGTGATGTTATTTTGAAACAGTACTTTGCAGCCGCTTGGAGCTGATTGCCCAAAATGTAATTAATTAAATAGACTGTATATGCCATGTGTAATGCATTGCAATTACTATTACTATTATTAGAGACTGCAGATGGAACCATACCACAATGAAGAGTATTTTTGCTTTCTACTAGTTGGAAATTGCATAAACAAGAATAGGCAAGTGGCTGACAGCAGAAAATGCAGTCATCCTTGACACAATAATTGTAATGTGTCACTGGAAATGACAAACCCCCTACAGTGCCTCACTTCCCATGTTGGTGCATGGAGGGCCACTGCTATACAAAGCGGCAGCAGGTGAGGAATAAATGTTAGCACCTGAAGAAAATGCTGCTTTACTGACACAAAAGCTAATCCTTCACACTTTAGTTTACATTTTATATAATTATTACAAATTATTGGCTTCTTAGTTGCAACATAAAAACAAGAACTTAGTGACTCACAGGCTATTGGTTGATACTGTAATAAATGTAATGAATTACCAATGGCTTGACAAAGAATCAGTAGGCTTACATTATACAGGCTCTCACCTAAATCCCATTCTGCCCACAAAGATGTCCTCCTCCTGCTCCTCCTCCTCTTCCTCCTTCTTCTTTTGATGCCTGTCTTTGCTCTTTGCCTGTTGTTTCATGAACGGACAGTACACCTCATCCTTTTCCTCAATTTCAGCCAGCAGGAGATGACCGCGCATCTTAAAGGCTGCTATCACCCTTTCCAGTGAATAGGCTGGGGGACTGGAGTGAATCTACAAACAACACATGCGTTAGGACAGAAATAATAATAATAATAAT